ATTAAATAATACAAATCGTTCCTTTCATCAGTGGACAATGGTGTTTTTTTTGTTGGATTTTAACTGTTATCTRYGTGCGACAACTTGAYTGTTATWTAYTTTATTGAATATTTAAACAACATACAATCATGATGTGTGAGCATATCATTACATTATTATATTATTTTTGCATTTATGTAATATATATTATAATTCGATGGACTATAATAGAGGCCACAAAAAGCGTTATTATGAACATAGCTTTATAGATCTATTGATTCAGTCTAAATACCTATCGAATGTTGATTTTAGTATATTATACCATTACACTAATTATAAATTCATTGGTTATAAATTATAATTAATATAAGTGCTAATCAACGATGAAATAATTTTCTAATGTCACTATATCTAAGCCGCCTTGCTAATTTACAAAGTTTTTTTGTTCTCAATTAATTAGCATTAAGTCGTAAAATAATAAAAATAATATGATAGTAGGCCAAGTCCAATTTTAATGAAAAATAATAATAATAATATTTAATACAAATACATTTAATAACGTTAAAATCAACGTATCACAAATGTTAAAATTTCGAACTCTATACAGTTACATAGATACATAATATTATAAACATTTAGTATAACAATGTTTGTCAAATTCATAATTGAGATTYAATACATAATTTTCTCGTGAAATTGATTGTTTTGATAGAAATTACATTATATTTTACATGTTTTTATATAAAGAAACAGTTGCAAACATCGAAAGAATTAATAAATATGTTACAGTTTAAAAAAAAAAATCGATATCAACCTGACACGTATAGGAATCGCACGGTTTAAGTCCTATAACCATCGAATAATGGCGGTGTTTTAAGCCTAAAAACAGTAGAAACCGACGTCATAGTCGGTCCTCTTTCACTGCAATTATTGTCTGTCACGAATTCACGATATTATATTGTTTGGTATCCAATAAATGATTATGTATTACAATTAATAATAATATCGTTCTCATTTTCTATTTTACAGCCATGCGACCGACGTGATGGACACTACTGGCTGGAAAACCATGATTCAGTCGCACCCACACCTAATAGCTGAAGCGTTTCGCGCGCTAGCCACACAGCAAATACCGCCAATTGGACCGCCTCGAAAGCGTGTCAAACAAAGCTGAAACGGACCGTCCACAGCGGTGATGCAGACTTACGATCTCACCAGCCCACCACCCCCACCCATCAAMTCTTCCAGGGCACACATTTTGTAAATTTATATAATTTTTTTTATTATTCACAAAATTGTACGTTTTAATTTCTATTATTATTATTTTTTTTTTGTACATAAATATGTTATTTCTAAAAATAAGAAAATTCCTAAAATGCAAGTAGCTTGTTTGCTGATAACGCGTTTGGACATGTTTGTATTCTCACAATATAAAATAAAAAAAAAAAAAATGGCTAACGGCAACAGTCGTCGGAATGGCACATGTGATATGAGTGATATTTGCAGCCTAACCTCGTATAATTTTTTTTTTTTAAATATGTTACATTATATTATACATTCATTATAATACAAGTACTATTATTTTAGTTAGTTCCATTATTATTGTTATTAATAATAATATACAGGTTGAATTGCATAAATCTATAAGAGCACACAATTTTAATGGTCCAATTTAATTGTTTTCCATTTATCAAAGGGGTTCCTAAATTGTTTTGAATCTATTTTATGCAACTCAGCCTTAGATTTATAATAAAAATTATTACATATTAATTAGCATTAAAAAACGATCATTGATGTTAACTATATAAACTAGGTCTCGTTATGAAATTTTTCGTTTGAACCGATTAAAATGGATTCTTATATTGTAAAGTAAACTATTCGGACAGTTTACTGTTTCCATTGTACTCGGTTTTTAATTTCTAACTCATTCTTTTTTTTTCTTTTTTGTGTGTTCATAAAATAACATAATTTAGATGTAAATACTTAATAATTTGTAAGACCGTCTGTGAAAAGAGACTGAAGAAATTTTCTTTGAATATATACCTCAGTTCGTAAATTAATCAATGCGTCCATTCAGTCGCTTTTATGATTATTCAAACTACTCGAGAATATAATAATTTTTAGTTATTTATTTCATAATCTATTTTCTWAAATATTAATTATTATTATATTTCTCTAAGTTTGTTTGGTATATTGTAATTAGTTGACCAAGTTTCTGTTCCTTGTAATTGTAAATAAGAATTTTTAGTCTCTTTTCTCAGCGTACTCTTTTCTTTTATTATTATTTGTTTTTCCTCGGTCACAGTATAGGAAAACAATCAAACTCAAGCCTTTTCRTGTTTATTTTTCCGAATTCGTTTTACTCGTGTGATTCGCTTGTTGTGTGTTTACCTGTTGTATGATATCTACGTCATTCGATTACATAGTTATGATATTGTGAATAATTTTAGACTATAGACTCGAAGTATTGTTTTTTTTTTTTTAAATAAAAACGCTCGTCTTTCAATCCTATTTTAATTGTGTTCTAATTAATACTTTTTAAGAAACAAGATCCAAAATATTTACATATAAAATATAATAACATTTATATGGATTTAAATAATACTACAATCCTATAATATGCATATCTTTATATTGGTTACCATTTTAAGTACAAATCAGTTTAAGGCTAGCTATAAAAGTATAAACCAGTTGATATGAATACAATTTTTTTTTATCAATAAATTTTAATTTTGATATTTCAACTAATTATTATTAACTACAAATATGTGTTTCATAATGCCACCATTAAGCTTTGAAACAAAAGTATATTATTGAATTCCCTTWAGARGACGCCAARCCCRTATGTGTTGTTTCCGTTTTATAAGTACGTAACATAGCAACAATTATTTTGCACGAGAGAACTGTGAAAGCTACAGTTATAACTAAGAAACAAAATTTTCACCATATAAAAAGGAGAATTTTGTCTGTGGTAGATCGTTTTTATTTTTTTGATATCACTTATACAAAAAAAAATTCTTATTGTTTCAAAATATATTATTTTTGTATTTTTTAAGAATGAAAAACTGTTTTTTGTTCTGATATCGAAAAAATAAAAACTATATTACACAGACAAAATTCACTTTTTTATAAGGTGAAAATGTTGTTTCTAGTTATTACTGTAGCTTTTTCGGTTCTTTCTCGCCTGAAACAGTTTTTTCTATGTTATGCACTTGTAAGATGGAGACAACACATGCGGGTGTGGCATCCTCTTATAATACACCTGGTAATAGGCATTACCTCATTGTTTTCCAAACAAAAATATTTGTTCACCTATTAAAACAGTTTGTGTTTTTTATAAAATKTATAAACAATTTCATTTTAACAAAATAAAATATAGTGGCTTGGTGAGGCGCGGTCGTACGCTCAATCTGTGGAAACGCACTGAGCGTATGTACCGGCCGTAGTTGCTAGCTCCCGGATGGGTGACCACCCGGGATTTTTAGCAACATATCCTTGCC